TCCACCCTCCTCAGCCTCCCAGAGTGCTGGGATTACAGGCGTGGGCCACCATGCCAGCTGCCCACTGTTTCTTACAACCTTTCAGAACACCTAATGGAGGCGTTTGTGTGTGGCGGCTTATGCCTATAATCCCAGCATTTTGGGATAGGCTGGGGCAGGAGGATGGCTTGAGTTAGGAGTTCAAGATCAGCCTGGGCAACCTGGTGTAACCCCATCTGTACAAAAATACAAAAGTTAGCCAGGTATGGTGGCATATACCTGTAGTCTCAGCTACTCCTTGGGGGCTTGGGGGAGAAGGGGGCACAGAGGTGGCAAGATTGCTTGAGCCTGGGAGGTCCAGGCTACAGTGAGCCATGACTACACCACTGCACTCTAGCCGGGGTGACAGAGGGAGACACCGCCTCAACGAAGCCACACTCACTTAGGGTGGGGGTGGGTGGCCGCAGACAATAAAATCATAACCAATTATTTTTCCTTTCTAAAATTTGGAAGTTTAGAAGGCAATCTATCCCCAAATAGTCAAAATATGACAGTGGCAAAATGAGTGACTTTATTATCTCTGCCATATTGTAGTCTTGCCATTAGACCGTCTTGCCAGTGAACTAGATTAATACGCTGACAGGACTTGTCAATTCTTATCCTTCCAGAGAAGCAGCAGAAGCTCACCCCGGAAACGCCATAGCATTTCTGCTTCTTGCTTTCACACTGAAACTATTCAGCGGATTCCATTTGCTGTCTTTGCCCTCCTTCCCAGCCGGGTCAGCTCTCGTGGGGAGCCCACACTTGGCTGCCCCGCCAACCCCGCAGTCTGCCTGAGTCCTGTGATCTGTTCCAAGCTCCAGGGCCCCCCCGACGGGGCTGCCTCCCACAACCCACTTCACACGGCGCCAACCTACCTGGTGGGCTTCCACACCTATTGCTTGCAGGGCAGACTTGAAAAACTCAGGAGAAGGCTTCCCCACAACCTCGGCTTTGATGCCACAGGCGTACTGGGAAAAGAGAGAGATGTGGCATGGGTTTGGGATCAAGGAACAGGTGTATGTCCAGGTGCAGAAACCCTGTCTCAAAGGTGCCCCCAAGGGTCAAGAGCCTTGAAGAAGCAAAATGCTGTGGGCCTGAGAACACATCTCACAGGCAGGAGCCTCACGAATCCCTAAAAGGCTGCATGGGTCCCTCAGGTCACCTAGCACCAGGCACCCTGCCATGCGCTCAAAGGCCTACCTACAGCAGGAGGCACCCAAGAGCTGGCAAAACTACAGGGCTCCCAAGGCCAGGAGAGCAGTGCCCTGCTCCCTCAGCTGCAATTCCGTTCTCTCACCCCTTCTCTCCGTCTCGTCCCCGGCCCACCCCCAGCTCATCACAGGCCTCTCCCTCCCACCTGATGGCAGGCAGGCAGGAGGAGCTGCTGCAGCTGTGACGATGGGATGGCTGCGAGGCTGACCTGGGGCAGCCGATGGGACGTGGGTCAGAGTGGACCCGAGGGAGCCCCACCCGGAGGCCGGGCCACAGATGGCCTTGGAAACTGAAAGGGGAATCGGGAAGGAGTCTACTGAGGACCCGTCAAGCCTGAGGTGCTGCAGATGCCCAGGGTCAGGAATGAGGCTGGTGGTCAGCACTGACACAGGCACCACAAGCCTGGGAGGAGCGTGGCAGAAAGCAGCTGGGAAAGCTACAGGGCCCACGGTGGGTAGGGGGCTGTGCCCACTGGAGGATGGGAAGGTTGGCGGGGGGAGAACAGCTGAGGACCCGGCCCGGGGAGCCCCCATAGGAGGGTGGCCTTTTTGGAAATGCAAAAGGCCATTCATAGGTTAATTACGCACAGCCTCTTCTCAAGAAAGACCCCCCCACATGTCCCAGGTGCCCTGAGGTCTGAAGAGAGCTTGGGACAGAACCAGGACCGGTACCTCAAGTGCCTTCATGTAGGGACCAACGTCCAGCATCAGGCCAGAGGTCTCCTTGTAGTAACGCCTAGGAGAGAGCAGAGGGAGAGTGGAGAACTGAGTGCGGGGGTCTAACAGACAGACCAGGCGCCATGCTGAGAATGACTGCAGGGGCCAGCACCACAGAGCAGGGACGCCGCCACGGGTCACACAGAATGCACCCCTGCTGTCAGCCTTGTGGGGACCCTGCTGCAATGATTAACAAGGGACTCCAAGGGCAGATGGTTCCAGTTGCTAATACAGAGAAAAGTAAGTAACCTGTGTCCTGGGAAGGAACAGCAGGTCCACAGAGCATGTGGTGAACCCCTAATTGCTAATAATTAACCCCTAATTGCTGGCTGAAGAAGAGAACTCCATTAGTTCCACAGCATCATCCCCTATTAGCCGGAGGTCAAGCGAGGTGCCAGGTTTCACGGGCGCCAGATGCTTTTATGAGAAGACAACCATTTCTTCTCCTGTCTCATGGAGGTCGAGACAGGCTCTGAGCGAGGGAGCATTCCTTTGTCCAACGGCAGTGGTGAGCCCCGTGCTGGCTTGGTGGTCAGCTGCAGCCCAGCCTGGCCCACCCCACAGTCGCAACACACTGAGCCTCAAGGCACCTACAATCCAGACACACAGCGGGCCAGACCCAGCTCTGGCTGAACAAAGTCAATTGACTACCACGAGGGGAGAAGTGGTTTAACCTGCGCTGCTCTGAAGACGCAATGAATACACAAGGGGGCTTGATTCTTGGAATCTCTAAACCATGTTGCCCTCCGCCATCACATCCGGTTCCCTGTCCTCCAGCCGTGCCCTTTGGATTTGGGAGGTGTGGAGAAAGCACCGTATACAGACAGTGAGAGGGACAAGAGAGCACATGCAGACTTCAGCGCTCAGACCTTGTAACAGTGTGACTTTGGGTTGCTTATACCTGCGGGCCTCAGTTTCCTCATCTGTAAAATGGGCAAAATGAACAATAATTTTTGTTCTCACGGATTGCTGTGAAGCTTGAATAAAACAACGCATGCAAAATTTATTAACTGGGTACCTTGCACACAGAAACTACCCAGATGAGGTAGGCAAACATGACTATAAATAACCACTCACCCAGCTGAGACGCAGGCAGTGACATGTGAGCTGGGGTAAGGGAAACATGAACACAGCCCTGTTCAATTCGGGGTCTTGAAATGTGTTCCACGCCCACTTGGGCTGTGAGAACTGAGCTCCTCGGAGCTGCCCCGGGCCTGGGGACACTGCCTGTCCCTTTCTGCCCCGCCTGATGCCTTGAAGCTGTAGGAGACTGCGTGGCCTACCAGCCACTCCTGTGGGATGACCGCTCGCCCTGTGCGTCCTCCACTGCCTGCTCAGACGCTTCCTGGCTAAATGCAAGCTGGCTGCAGGCATGGGCTTCAGCCAAACCTGGGCCCTGCCAGGACTGGTTCCGTGCCACACCCCTGTTAGCCGGCTTTGGAGCTTGGAGTCTGCTTGTTGAAAGTGTGGGCGACAGATCTCCTGTCGTGACGGGGCTTGGGACTCTGCACGTGAACCCCAGGCCTGTCCCATAGCTGCCAAGGCTCTGCTCTGGGGCCACAGCCCAGCGATCTGTGCCAGCTGGGCCACTGTGCATGCTCACAGAAGGGGGCCTGCAAATGCCCCCCCTTTCAGAGTGACCCCCAAAACAAGCTTAGAAATCTCTAAGTTCCTGTCTTAAACGCAGACTTCAAATGTATATTTTGCATTTATATGGCCTCAAAAAAGCACTGCCTTTTTCCCAGTCGGACAATCAGCTACTTCGCAGCAGTGATTTCCTTAGGGGGTTCCAGAGCTCTCGGGAAACGGTGAGGGGACACTGGCTGGAGCTGCAACTGGCCCAGGCTACCCTGGTCCCCTTGGCATTAATGACCCCAGATGCTCCACAGCCCTTTGCAGGACTCGGGGACACTCCGAGCTCCAGGCCTGCTCCCAGGGACTCACAATCGGTGGGGAAGCAAGGAAGCCCACGGACAAACTTTAAAGGGCAGGGCCCAGGTGATGGGCAGTCTGCTTGTACAGGGCGGGGACAGGCTGGGGACAGGGAAGTAGGAGAGGCATGGGAAGCTGAGACCTAAGCTAAAAGGAAGTGAAGAAGAGGTCCAGGCCCAGGGAGCACCTTGGAATCCACTGAGCACTCTACTGAGCACCACGGTGGCCATGCCACCCCAGGCAAGGCCCTCTGCAGGCCCTCGGAGGCCACAAACCTCGTCCCCTCCTGCCTATCTGTGCCAGGAGAAGGAGGGCACCGAGGTAGGTAGGGAGGGCCTCCCTAAGGAAGTGATAGGTGGAAGTAATCCAGGATGGAGGAAAGAATATACCCCACACAGGAAATGCTTACCCAGCAACAAAAGAAAACCTTAAATCAACAAAATGACCCCACTGCGACAGGGACAGCTCTGTTTGGAGCTGAGGATTCTGGGTGGGCCCAGAATCTTGTCCCTCAGCTGCCCTCCTGGGGCCGGCTGGAGGAGGTGCAGGCTGGGTGGATAGGTGCCAGCACCTCCCATCAGCTGCAGAAACCTCCCAAGGGGACCCACGTGGCGCCACTTCTGCTGGACTCATGTTCCTGCAGCGTCTTCTAAAGCAAAAGAAACCTGGCTTTTCTTATGTTTAAATTTAGTCCTGGATGGGATTTTTAAAACCTGAACGTGAAACTTAAAATACACAATCAGCACCTTGTCTTTGCTAGGCTAACCTTCAGAGTCCAAGGAGAACACTAACTTCCAGAAGTTAAAATGAGAAACTTTAATATTTCTTTTATAAAAAACTGAATCTGGGCTTGATTTTATAGTGCCCTGAATTTTTCTTTATTCCTCATTCATTCAGAACAACAAAAAGGCATCTTGAGGCCAACTGTTACTTGAAAACATTTTTTAGAGACACAACAAATAAAGGCACTTAAAAAGATTTCTTTACTATAAAGACCTGGTCATCGCCACACACTAGAGATGTGATGTATTTCTCCTGTTCCGGGTGGAACCCAGCCAAGGCAGCCCCACTTAGGAAGCGAAGGGTCCAGCCACAATGAGGAAACCGTGGATGCTGGAAAGAAAGGGGGAAGCCGGAAGGAGGAGTCAGATGTGGTCTGACGCTTTATTCTTCTGCGGGTTCTGATTATTCAGCGCAGCCTCCCTGAAAATGACCACTTGACCTTTCCCAGAAGAGCCATTAACCTTCCATAGTCTGTCCCGTAAACAGCTTAATTTTCTGAGGGCGGCATGACAGAAGAAATTACAAAGCCAATTCCCACTCTCAGGTCCAAACAGATGCCAAATGTAAATCACTCCATTTCCAGGAAGGGGACAGTCTTCCCCGGCGCCTCCACCTGCTGCTCCCGCCTCCTTGGGGGGCACCACTCAGCCTGCACCCCTGAGACCTGCAGTGCAGGACGGCCTTACCAGTGGTGACCCACAGCCGAGGAGAGCATGGTGGCAGCACCTCCTCCAGCGTCCTCTTGCTGTCCAGAGAAGCTGAGACCTAGCCCCCAAAACCACTGGTTCCCCCCATCAGCAGAGACCCCGCTAATCCCCTGTTGTAAACAAAGCCTGTCTACTACGACATTCGCTGCAGTATTATACAGCTAAAAGCGACTGCTTCCGCTTTTTTTTTCAACACTATACCTATTCTATTCTTATGTATAATGTAAAATAGTGGTTTTTAATAATTATGAGACTACTTGATTTTTATTTTTTTGCTTTTCTTTTTTGTAGAGATGGAATCTCACTATGTTGCCCAACTGGTCTTGAACTCCTAGCCTCAAGCTATCTCCCATCTCAGCCTCCCAAAGTGCTGGGGTTGCGGGCAAGTGCCACCAAGCTCAGCATGAAACATCTTTAAAGAAAAAAGTGTTGCTGAGCATGGTGGCTCATGCCTGTAATCCCAGCACTTTGGGAGGCCAAGGTGGGTGGATCACCTGAGGTCAGGAATTCAAGATCAGCCTGGCCAACATGGTGAAACCCTGTCTCTACTAAAAATACAAAAGTTAGCCCGGCATGGTGGTGTGTGCCTGTAATCCCAGCTACTTGGTTGACTGAGGCGGAAGAATCACTTAAACCCAGGAGGCAGAGGTTGCAGTGAGCCAAGATTGTGTCATTTCGCTCCAGCCTGGGTGACAAGAGCAAGATTCCATCTTAAAAAGAGACTGCAATGATTAATTTACATGCCAACTTGGCTGGGCCACGGTGCCCAGATATGTGATCAAACATTATTCTGGATGTTTCTGTGAAGAGGTTTTTGGATGAGATTAACATTTAAACCACATCCAACCAGTTGCAGGCTTTACTAGAACAAAGACTGACCTTCCCGGATCAAGAATCCCACCAGCAGACGGATGGCCTCAGGACTCAGTCTTGGCTCCTTCCTGAGTCCCAGCCTGCCAGCCCTACCCTGCAGACTTCGGACTGGCCGGGCCTCACAATCAATCTCTCTATATATCTATATCCCATAGCTTCAGCTTCTCTAAGGACCCTGACCCCACACTGGACACATTTTATCTATATGATAAACAGACTAGAAACTTTTAGTCACTAACAAGAAAATCCTCTTTTATTTCTTGAAACATCTTTCGCTTGCCCATGTTTGATAGAGATACAGCGTGAAGAAATACTTCTCTATGGAAACCACAAATGGAACACAATAAATGGTAGCTGACTCTGCGATCTGGAGATGGACAACAGGGCGGGGTGGGGTCTGTGGTAACCTGGAGCCAAAGGAGTCATCAGAGGCTCCAGCTACGTCGCAGCATGTGCAGGAATGTGAGGCTTGGTACTGTCAGATCTTCTGATGCTTCAGAAGAATCCAGAAATCTGGATATTTTGTGTAAAATCTCCCCATTTTTAAACACAGCCTCGAAAATACATTTAAGTTTTTGTCTTTTGTTTTTTTTTTGAGATGGAGTCTTGCTCTGTTGCCCAGGCTGGAGGGCAATAATGCTATCTTGGCTCACTGCAACCTCTGCCTCCCGGGTTCAAGTGATTCTCGTGCCTCAGCCTCCCGAGTGGCTGGTATTACAGGCATGCATCACCACGCCTGGCTGATTTTTGTATTTTTAGTAGAGACAGGCTTTCATCATGTTGGCCAGGCTGGTCTCAAACATAGGTGATCTGCCTACCTCGGCCTCCCAAAGTGCTGGGATTACAGGGTGTGAGCTACTGTGCCTGACTCATATTTAAGACTTATCTGGGTGAAAAGTCTGCTCTAGAATGTGTAGCTTAGAGGTGACAAGCACTGGGTCTGGGGTCAGCCATGCTAAGTGGCATTCCTGGTCCTATCAGGACTCAGCAGCTGGGGGACAGCAGCTTATCTCACCTCCTGTGGCCTCAACACCCCAACCCCAAAATGCCACTGACCTGCCCAGAGCACACAGGGTTGTGGTCAGAATTACAGAAAATGGGACATATCAAGTACGTGGCAATGGCCGGTGGCCAGATAAAAAGTCCTTCCCTGTCTGTTCCATTGGCTGGCCCTGTGCAGCAAGCAGAGGTGGGAGCACTGTCACCAGAGGCACCGAAGCTGGAAAACACTTCCTCCGCTGTGGCCTCGCAATTCCCTTCGTGACAAGCTGAGCAGACACTCCAGAGTGTCCTTGCAACTTTAGGGGCCTGTGATTCTAGAATTCTAGGCTGTGCAGAACCGATCTGTGTAGCTTTCTGGAAACAACTTGGCGGCATGCCTCATGCGTTTCAGAAATACACGTTCTGTGACTGTATCTGCAGACATCATCCGAAGTGCAACAAGATGCTCATCATAGCCGGACTGCGGTGAGAATCCAGGCAGAGCCCAGAGGCCCGTCAGCAGGGATCGGTTAGAAAAATCGCGCTTTCCAGACTTGGCCCTGGCCCCGGCCCCGGCCCCTACAGCTGCAGAGATGTTGGTGCCTAAGAACCAGATTGCCATTTATGAACTCCTTTTTTTTTTGAGACACAGTCCCTCTCTTGTCACCCAGGCTGGAGTGCCGTGGTACAATCTCGGCTCACTGCAACATCTGCCTCCCAGATTTAAGCAATTCTCCTGCCTCAGCTTCCCGAGTAGCTGAGATTATAGGCACCTGCCACCACACCCAGCTAGTTTTTATACTTTCAGTAGAGACAAGGTTTCACCACGTTGGCCAGGTTGGTCTCAAATGCCTGACCTCAGGTGATCTGCCGGCCTTGGCCTCCCAAAGCGCTGGGATTACAGGTGTGAGCCACCGCACCCGGCTTATGAACTTCTCTTTAAGGAGGGAGTCATGGTGGCCAAGAAGAACATCCACCTGCCTAAGACCCAGAGCTGGCAGATGAGAATGTGCCCAACCTTCACGTCATGAAGGCCATGCAGTCTCTCAAGTCCTGAGGCTGCATGCAGGAACAGGCTGCCTGGAGACGCTTCCATTGGCACCTTACCCACACCGGCATCCAGAATCGCTGTGATTACCTCTGTCTGCCCCTGGGGAGCGCATCTGCCACCCCATGCCACAGCTGCTGGGAGACTGACGGGTTGTGCCCTACAGGTCTGGAGCATGACCAACCAGCAAGACCCACAAGAGGGGAAGCAAAGACACCCACAGACAGGGAGAGACACCCACGGACGGGGAGAGATACCCACAGACGGGGTGAGATACCCACAGACAGGGAGAGACACCCACAGACAGGGAGAGACACCCACAGACAGGGAGAGACACACAGACAGGGAGAGACACCCACAGACAGAGAGACACCCACAGATGGGGAGACACCCACAGATGGGGAGAGACACCCACAGACAGGGAGAGACACCCACAGACGGTGAGATACCAACAGATGGGGAGAGACACCCACAGACGGGGAGACACCCACAGACAGAGAGACACCCACAGGTGGGGAGAGATACCCACAGGTGGGGAGAGACACCCACAGACGGGGAGAGATACCCACAGACGGGAAGACACCCACAGACGGGGAGACACCCACAGACAGAGAGACATCCAGAGACACACAAAAATACCCATAGATGGCAAGAGACACCCACAGACAGGGAGAGACACCCACAGACGGGGAAAGACACCCCCAGGTGGGGAGAGATACCCACAGGTGGGGAGAGACACCCACAGATGGGGAGAAACATCCAGAGATAGATAGAAATACCCACAGATGGGGAGAGACACCCACAGATGGGGAGAAACATCCAGAAACAGATAGAAATACCCACAGATGGGGAGAGACACCCACAGATGGGGAGAGATACCTACAGATGGGGAGAGACACCCACAGACAGAGAGAGACACCCAGAGACAGATATAAATACCCACAGACGGGGAGAGACATGCGCAGACGAGGAGAAAGGACCACAGACAGGGAAAGACCCCACAGAGAGAGAGATACCCACAGACAGAGATACCCACAGAGAGAGAAAGCCACTGAGATGTCCACAGACAGATGGAGAAACCCACAGAGAGAGACACCCACAGACAGAGAGAGACACCCAAAGAGAGAGACACCCATGGATAGACAGAAACAGTCACAGAGAGAGATACCCACAGACAGATGGAGACACCCATAAACAGAAGAAGACACCCACAGAGAGAAACAACCACGGACAGACAGAAACACCCACAGACAGACGGAGATACCCAGACACCCACAGAGAGAGAGAGAGACAGCCACAGACAAAGACAGCCACAGATGGAGATACCCACAGATGGGGAGAGACACCCACAGACAGGGAGACACCCACAGACGGGGAGAGACACCCACAGACGGGGAGAGACCCACAGACAGGGAGAGACATCCACAGACAGGGAGACACCCACAGACAGAGAGACACCCACAGACGGGGAGAGACACCCACAGACGGGGAGAGACCCACAGTCAGGGAGAGACACCCACAGACAGGGAGACACCCACAGACAGAGAGACACCCACAGATGGGGAGACACCCACAGATGGGGAGACACCCACAGATGGGGAGAGACTCCCACAGATGGGGAGAGACACCCACAGACGGTGAGATACCAACAGATGGGAGAGACACCCACAGACGGGGAGACACCCACAGACAGAGAGACACCCACAGACGGGGAGACACCCACAGATGGGGAGAGACACCCACAGACAGGGAGAGACACCCACAGACGGTGAGATACCAACAGATGGGGAGAGACACCCACAGAGAGAGACAGCCACAGACAGAGATAGCCACAGACAGACAGAGACACCCACAGACAGAGATACCCACAGATGAGGAGAGATACCCAGAGACAGATGGAGACACCCACAGATGGGGAGAGACACCCATAGACAGATGGAGACACCCATAGAGGGGAGAGACACTCACAGATGGAGGGCTGTGTCTCCCAGTGCTGATGAGAAAACTGGGTCAGCAACTGAATTCCAGTTTAGAGGTGTATTTGGTCGTGGACGTGATCAGCCACCTCAGTACAATTGGAGAGGGTTATTTTGCATTGAATAAACTTATAACCAGAAAGAAAATGAAAAAAAAATTATAAGAGGCTGGGTGTGGTGGCTCACACCTGCAATCCCAGCAGTTTGTGAGGTTGAGGCAGGTAGATCAGGAGGTCAGGAGATCAAGACCATCCTGGCCAACATGGTGAAATCCTGTGTCTACTAAAAATACAAAAATTAGCCTGGTGAGGTGGTGCATACCTGTTAGTCCCAGCTACTCAGGAGGCTGAGACAGGAGAATCGCTTGAACCCGGGAGGGGGAGTTTGCAGTGAGCCCAGCAAAAGTTATTTATATATTGTAAATAAATAAATAAAAATTACAAGATAGCCACACAATAGATAACCATGCCCCAAGACATGCTCATTTTCTGCGTGCTAAGTCATTCACAAATATTGTTTGGTGAACAATAAAAAACAGGTGACAAAACAAGGTCAAGTGCGACAGCAATGCTGTGAACACCCCCATCCGTAATGGAGGACTAGCACGGGAAACCACTCGCAAGGGCATACACCAGAATAGTGACAGGTGTCCTTGTGCAGTGGGACTAAAAATACTTTCCGGTTTCTTCTTCTGCTCATCTGTATTGTCTAATTTTTCTTCAATGAACATGTGCTATCTCAGTATAAGAAAAACGTTAAAAATAACCAGCACTGTTTAGTTTAAGAAAGAGATGGATGGCAGGGCACGTGTTAGAGGCCCAGACAAAACACCGATCACAAAATCACAACTTTACAAAGACAGGGATCTGTGGCCAGACACTGACCGTGGCTGCTCACACTGGAGCTGACGGGGCCGCAAGCCTACTTTTCACTAATTAGGCAACCCTGAGAGCATCCTCAACACCCTGCTACCTCCAATGCAAATGTATCTTCTTCTTTGCTCTAAACTTGGGACAATCAACACTTGGCCTCTGAGGTCTCCCGGGGTCTCCATCTGCACTGACGCCCCCTCCCAGTCTAGACTGCATATGGAAGCTTGATCCACCAGTTCCTGAAGACGGAGTCTTCCTATTCCCTAAAGAAATGATTAAAGGAGAGGAATAAAGAAATGACGAGAGAAAGCAGGAAAAAGGGAGGGAGGGCAAGGAAGGTCACTGGTGCTCCCCCCACACCCCCTTCTGCCTTCTTCTCTGCCTGATTCCACAAGCCAGAGACTGGCATGGGCAAAGCAATGAGAAGTGACTCTCCCTAGAGCCAACTTACCCTTTTCCCAATGATATGAGCACAGGATTCTCCAGCTCCATGAGCACCTGGAAGGCGCTATTCATGTTTTGATAAGAAAAGCTTTCTCCTGCATCTGCAATTACTACACAGTTTGGGTTGGAAGTGTCGATCTGATCAAATTCTGAGCGGACTCCTGGAAACAGAAAGAGAGAGTGACTGTGTGACTCAGCCTTGGGAGAACATGGCCTACCTCCCCATCTCCTACCAGGAACACCTTTTACGTGTCCTCCCCTTTCTCAGATGCATTTCTTTCTGATCCTCACAGCTACCATGGGAGGTGGACACAGGAGGGTGTTATTCCCATTTCACAGAGGAGGGACTTCAGCTCCTCACCGAGAGCATATGAGGAGAAAGGTGGACCCACCCCCAGGACCCTCCATCCCAACAAATCAGCCCAGGAGCCTCCTGAGTTCACTACCACAGGCAGGAAACCCACAGCATTGCAACTAAGAAGGGAAATCTCAGAAGACACTGAGACCTGCAGCAGCAGGAAACGGGGCTGCTTGCAAGCCTTGGAGGTCCCAAACTGTAAGAACCGTTGACACGTTTCAGGCGACCCCACAAATATGTCCTAAAGAAAAGGAGCAGGATTCCATCCCCACAGGCCTTGTTCACCAACTCCCTTAGAAAACTCTCTTCCTCCTTCTCCTTTGTCCTCCCCATTTTAAATTAAAATAGGAAATTTACAAGGATAGATCAAATCATTGGCTTTGTGTCTTCAGGTCCTAGAAGAAACATGCTGTCATCTCTCTTAGGATTAGACGTTGACCTTTCTAAATTAAAAAGAAACCGAGGCCAGGCGCGGTGGCTCATGCCTGTAATCCCAGCACTTTGGGAGGCTGAGGCGAGCAGATCCACCTGAGGGTCAGGAGTTCGAGACCAGCCTGGCCAACATGGTGAAACCCCATCTCTACTAAAAATACAAAAACTAGCCAGGTGTGGTGGCAAGCACCTATTATCCCAGCTGCTCAGGAGGCTGAGGCAGGAGAATCACTTGAACCCGGCAGGTGGCAGTGATTGAGATTGCGTGACTGTACTCCAGCCTGGGCAACAGTGTGAGACTCTGTCTCAAAAATAAAAAAAAGAAACTGAAATACACAATGAGATACCATTTCATACCCACCAGAATGGTGAGAATTAAAAAGACTGATAACACCAAGGGCTGGTGAGGATACTGAACAGCTGCAATGGATGGAGAAAGCGTAAAATAGTACAACCCCTCTGGAAAAAAGGTCTGGCAGTATTTTATAAAGATGAAGATACACGTACCCTATGACCCAGTAATTTCGCTGCTAGGTATTTGCCCAAAGAACTGTGTAAGAATGTTCATAGCAGATTTGTTCATCATAGACTAAAACTGGCAACAATCCAGGTGTCAACAACATGTGAATGGATAAACTGCGGTCTCTTCACTCAATGAAATACTACTCTGCAATAAAAATGAACAACACTGCTGATACATGCAATGATATGGATGAGTCTCAAAAACATGATGTTGGGGCGGGTGGATCACGAGGTCAAGAGATCGAGACCATCCTGGTCCACATGGTGAAACCCCATCTCTACTAAAAACAAAAAAATTAGCTGGGCATGGTGGCGCGTGCCTGTAGTCCCAGCTACTTAGGAGGCTGAGGCAGGAGAATTGCCTGAACCCAGGAGGCAGAGGTTGCGGTGAGCCGAGATCGCGCCATTGCACTCCAGCCTGGGTAACAAGAGCGAAACGCCGTCTCAAAAAAAAAAACCCATGACGTTGGGTAAAATAACCTTTGCACAAAAGACTACTGTGAAGAAAAGGGTTAACTCACCGGGACTAGGTTGCTCGAACTGTACACATTCCAAAACAGGCTTGTCTTCAGGACTGGCTCCCAGGAGATAAACCCTGAGCCCTCAGAATGTGCGACCTGGTAAAACGTGTTCTGTATGCCCAGGGCCGTGGGCCCTGCTCTCTCGGTCTAACCAGATCGTTGATGCTAACAGCTTGACTTGCCTGTTTCTGTATGCCTGAGGCCCTGGCCAAGCTGGACCAGTTTGGACTCTGGAGGGCTGGAGACTGAGTCACTACGGTCAGTCACGCAGATGCTAATGCCCACACGAAAACCCTGGACACTGAGGCTCCCGTGAGTGTCCCTGGTGGCCAACACTTCCCAGGTTGTCACACATCATTGCTGGGAGAATCAAGCGTGCCCCAGTAGGATTCCACGTTGAAGGGATAACTGGAAGCTCACGCCTGGCTTATCCTAGGCTCTGGCCCACGTGCCTCCTCTCTTTGCTGAATTTAATCTTTATTCTTTCATGGTAATACATCTAACTGTGAGTGTAATAGCTTTTCTGAGTTCTGTGAGTCCTTCTAATGAATCATTCAGCCTGGGGGTGGCACTGGAGGCCCCAACACAATTCTATACTGTATGATTCTATTTACATAAGATTCTAAAATAGGAGAACTTATTTATAACGGAAAAAATGAAAACAGTGGTTGCCTCCAAGGAGGCAAGGGGTGGAGACCACCTGGGAAGGGCACGAGGTAGCTGCCAGAGCTGTCAGTGATGGCGACGGTCCAGATGTTGCCGGGGCTGGGTTCCACGGGTGCATGCGTTTGTCAAAACTCAGCAAAAGTACCCTTGAGGTTTATACGTTTCATTGTTTGTAAATCTCACATCAACAGGAAAAACTATAAACAAATACCAAACTCGAATGATACGCTGAAGTGTTTAGGGGTGTATACCTATGTCTGCATTGTACTCTGAAATGCATCCAAATAATAACATGGATAGACAGATGGAGGATGGATGGATACAAAGTAAAGAAAACGTCAAAAAATATCATTGACAATCTAGGCGAAGGGTATAAAACTATGCCAAGTAAGGCCAGGCACAGTGGCTCACGCCTGTAATCCTGGTACTTTGGGAGGCCAAGGTGGGTGGATCACCTGAGGTCAGGAGTTCAAGACCAGCCTGGCCAACAGGGTGAAACCCCATCTCTACTAAAAATACAAAAATTAGTCAGGTGTGATGGTGCATACCTGTAACCCCAGCTACTTGGGAGGCTGAGGCGGGAGAATCCCTTGAACCCAGGAAGCCGAGGTCACAGGGAGCCAAGTGCTCCAGCCTGGGTGACAGAGTGAGACTCTGCCTCAAAGAAAAAAACTATTCCAAGTAAAAATTCTTTGAACTTTGCTGTATGCTTGAAATTTTTCATAAAATGTTAGACAGAAAACCCATCAATGATTCAAAAGAAATTCCAAGTCTGAAAACACAGGTGTAGTTACTGAAAACATGGAGCAGGATTAGAGCTGAGGAAGGGCGTCCTCCCTCCAGCCTCCCAGCTGTGCCCTCTGCTTGTCTGATTCACTGGCCAAGGCCACCCTCCAAGAGGATGCCCACTCCCTCTCCTGTTGGCTTCTACAGCTCCACTCCCAGGCCTAGCAACCCTTTTCTGGAGGCTGGGGGAAGATAATTTGTCCTAAATCTTCTTTCTTTGAAGACCATATTCTAAAGACACTAGTAGGGATCCTAGATTACAGAGAAAGAATTTTGAGAAACATGATTTCTAAAGGCCAGGCGTGTCACCCTTAACCAGCCCCAGGGCTATGAAGTTGACATTTGGGCTTTCCAGGGAGCACCCGCCGCTTCTTGAGAGCCCCCACCTTGCCCTGGAAAGGCAAAAAGCACTCTGCCTAGTGGTTTGTAAAAATAAGAATATCAA